AAACCACACCCCGCCGCGAGTCACTTCAGCCGAACCCGACATACGCCGCCATCACCCAAAGCGAACCATCCGGAAGGGACACATGGTTCTTGGACAGTTGCTCCGGACAGCACATGTGCTCCTCGGGACGCTTCGGTCAACGAGAACACCAACTTCAACGCGAAGTTGTCATTACAGTCGCCAACAATCAGAACCTGCGAACACGACGACAAGGTGTAGTTCAACTTCAGTCAAGGGAAACAAACGTTGTACTGCAGATGTCAAAAGTACTAATCGCGGAGGGACTTTGCTACAACTTACTGAGCGTCAGTCAGCTAATGGCGAAAGGGATTCACCTCGAAGCAGACAGCACCATCCAAGAATTCAAACTGTATCACGGGAGAGGAGGACTCTACATCGGCAAGGTGGTCCTCAAGAACAACGTCTTCGTTCTTGACTTCATTCCTGACCTTGGCACCGCCGACAGCGACGCCATCGTTAACTTCACCAACTGGACACACCCTCCAGACCTTGATCCAGACTTCAGTCCAGAAGGCTTCTGGTATTCACACACCATCCCTGAAGCAGAAAGAACAAGGGCGTTAGCAACAATTCAGACAACATCAGCAGCAGCAGAGACAACACCGGCAGCAGGAGAGACAACATCAGCAGCAGCAGAAACAACACCGGCAGCAGGAGAGACAACATCGCCAGCAGCAGAGACAACATCGGCAGCAGCAGAGACAACATCGGCAGCAGCAGAGACAACATCGGAAGCAGCAGAGACAACATCAGCAGCAGCAGAAACAACATCGGCAGTAGCAGAACCATCAACGGCAGCAGCAGGAACGTCAACACCAATTGCTAGTCCTTCAACGACACCGCTCCTCATCAACAACACACCACCGACACCCGCGCAACAACTACACCCAGCACCACGAGAAGTTCATCGTAGCGCCAACTTCACCGCCAACTTCTACTCCAACTTCAATATGTACCGACGATCACCCGGACATCGCGCCGACGAAAGCACCTGGCACGCAAGGATAGGACACCCAAGCAACAAAGTATTAAACAATGCGATAAGAGCAGGAGTACTCGACAAGGACTCACTCCTACTGACCGACGGACGAGAACTTCAACGAGTATGCGGAACGTGCCTCACCTGCCCTGAAGGTGACTTACCACATCGACCGTTTGCGTCTCACCACAACCCGAGCGCACCCGCGTACGCACCACTCGAGAAGGTGTATAGCGACATCCTGTTCAATCGGGAACCAGGACAAGTAATATACAACTATACAATCACCTTCATCGACGCCGCCACCCGTTACGTCTGGCACCTAAACCTCCCTAGCCGCGACATGGCATTCGCAACCTTCGTTGCCTGGCTACCAGTAGCAGAGAGAGAATCGGGCGTGCAACTGAAAAGCTTCCAGTCAGATGGAGGAGGAGAATACACTTCTCAGCGATTCAAGCATTACATGGCGGAAAGGGGAATCAAGCGACTCATCTCCCTTCCCTACGCCCATCAGCAACAAGGTGTAGCAGAAAGAATAAACAAGACCTTGTAGAACAGCATGCGCAAACTATTACGTGGCATGCGGCTACCCAACCACCAGTGGCCTGCGGCAATGGACCACGCCGTCATGCTGCACAACTTGCTCTCGTCATCATCGCTTCCGAACAACGCATCACCGCATCTGCTATGGACAGGGAAACAGGGCAGCACAAAAATGTTACGAGTATTCGGATGCATGGTACAGTACCGACCCCCAGCAGCACGAGCGGGCCGATTTTCTCAACGAGCACAGTGGGGACTACACCTGGGAATCGAAAAGAACTACGACGCGTGGAAAATCTTCGACGTCCACTCCAAGGAAACAGTAGCAGCACGTGACGTAATTTTCTACGAACGACTCACGCTCCAGACATACCTTGCCAACCTGCAAGAAGACCAGGATCCCACTGGTGGCTTTCGCGGTGACCGAGCCTTCGCCTCAGCAGCGGACGAAGCTGACTGGGACGAGCAGAATGTGGACAACGCATCAGAAGAAGCCGGACCTCTTCCGTTCTGCTCCGTCGACGTTCCCATGGACGAAGATAACCCTTGCGAAAGTGTCAACGCCGAAACCTTCTACTATTTCGCCGACAACGGTTACGTAACACCTGCGACAGTCAACTCGAACAAAGCAGAACGAGTAGGACCGAACTTCATACCTGATCCAGAAGCGGGAGATGAAGCAGCTTATCCCGAGGACGTAAATCTTCCCCGCTACTCACAGAGTGGACTGCAGATTCTCGGACTCGTCACCGCAGTCCACGGCACCGCCACTCCTAAAGAGCCTGCGACAGTTCAACAGGCTCTAGGGGGGGAACATAAGGAAAAATGACGCGAAGCCATGGACAAGGAGCTGAAGGCACTAGAGGAACGCAACACGTGGAAAGTGGTTCCTATCGGCGTGGCTCGGAACAAGACAGTGCTCACCGGGAAGTGGGTCTTCCGTGTGAAGACAAAGGCTGACGGCACCATTGACAAATTTAAAGCTCGCTGGGTTGTACGCGGCTTCGACCAAGAACACGGACAAGACTTCACCGAAACTTTCGCTCCGGTTAGCCGCCACACCTCACTACGCATTCTCCTCGCAATCGCCACCATGAAGAAGAAGAAGCTACGACAAATCGACGTCGCGAACGCGTTTCTCTACGCACTTGTTGATGCAAAAATCTTCGTCGAGCTACCGCACGGCTCCCACGGAGAACCCAACAAAGTCTGCCAGCTACTCAAGTCACTCTACGGCATCAAGCAGGCTCCGCGACTGTGGCAACAGTACCTGCACGCTCGCCTCATCCGCATCGGCTTCAAGCAACTACCGCACGACCAAGGCATGTACCGGCTCACAAAAAACGACGACTACATCCTACTAATCGTCTGTGTGGACGATCTCCTTTACATTGGCTCAACTCACGGCATCACTACCTGGTTCGAAGGGGAGCTCCATCGAGATCTCACGCTCACAGTTTCATCTACCGTCACTCAGTACCTCGACCTCAACATTCGGGAAGAGGAGGACGCGATCTACCTCAGCGCCGAGAAATATGCCGACACTATCGCCAAACGTTTTACGCTTACACCGACAACCATCTCCACACCATACCGATACACGGCAGGGAACGACAGAGGAAGCTCTACTCTACTTAAGTCCGCCGGCATACGAGACTACAAGAAGAAGCTGGGATGTCTTCTCTTCGCAGCCGTCACCTGTCGCCCCGACCTATCATACTCCGCAAGCCAGCTCGCCACCTACCTCAAGAAGCCTGAAGCAGAACATCTGGCGGAGCTCTACCGCGCTCTTCACTACTTCGTCAGCACCCCAACGATCGGCCTAACTTACTACAAGAACGCAACCACACCGACTAAGTTAATCGGCTACGTCGACGCTGATCACGCTGGCGACTCCGACAATAGGCGCTCCCGCACTGGCTACATCTACCGCCTCGAACCTATCGGACCTATCTCTTGGCAATCGAGCTAGCAGGAATTAATTGCTCTCTCGTCAGCTGAAGCAAAATATATTGCACTCTGCTCAGCCACCAAGGAAGGACTCTATCTTCGCGAACTGCTGGAAGATGCGAAGTTAGCCGAGTTACCCAACTTTACCCTGTTCTGCGACAACTAGTCGGCAATTCGTATCGCCAACAAGAACGGCTTCGCGAACAGGACGAAACACATCACCCTGCGATATTTCTTCGTGAAGGATGACATCGAGAAGGGAAGGCTCGAGCTGTCATACTGTCCCACGTCCAAGATGGCAGCTGACTACCTGACCAAGAAGCTCGGAAAGCAGAAGTTCGAATACTGCATGTTGCTGACTGGACAGAGCCACGTTAGCGACACTCCAGAAGCGAAGGGGAGTGTTGGAAACAATCGGTCCTAAGCGCCTCTGTCGTGTCGAAACACTAAGGCACAAGCGAAGCAAAGCATATCGAGGCACCAGCGAGTCAACCCTCGGAGGTTGAAGTAACTGCTGGAGGTTACGCGGAAGTCGAAGGTCAGCGACCTTTGACCTGACAAGTACAGCGCGACAGCAAGGACACACAACTGACTCGCTACAGAGCAGTTGCCCGAGTCGTCACTGTATCGAACCGCAACAGCAACAAGTAAAACAGTTATAACCGTATCCTTTCATGTTCCTTGTACTCTTATATAATCTTGTATCTCCTTGTTTTAATCAACTTACTTTTGCCCTCACATACTAGCGCAAGGTGGTTCACAACTCTTTATTAACGCTTCCGCTACTACACCAACTCTACCTAGAGTTCACCCCTGCAAAGATCCTAAGAGCTTTTTCAGCCCAACATAAATTTCACCAATCTACAAGACACGATCCCGAAAGAGAGCTACACTGATTGATCTGTTTTTGCTGGAACCTGTGACTCATCATTCTTGAAATGCAGGCAGCAGAAACCAACTTGGTCCAGCACGAAATCAATTATGTACACCATAGAGAACAGTCCAATCACTATCGAGAAGGCAATGTAAGACCACTGTTGAGGAGGGACGAGTGGTAGGAAGGCATGGGAGAGGGAAGGAATTAGCTCCTGGCAACGTGGCTACATATGGTACCGGGTGCGATTTCTGAACCAAGTCATGAGTGGAAGAGCAAAGGTTGCAGGACCCTGAAAAAAATGGAATAAAAATATATGTTGGAAAGCTCACAGTGAGGTCGTAACCAAACTTGGAGGCGGCAAGATCGAACCCCAAGTATGTGTCTGCCCACGCGATCGCCATCACGACAATCCCAACCACCCAATGCAGGGCAAACCAGGATCGACGGCTGAGATGCTTCTGGAGCGGCTTGACCTGAGCCACGATTAGCTGCGCAACGATCAACACCATGACGGCCATTCCGAGCCGTCCGTGTGTGGAGTGCAATGATTGCGACCCTTTTTCCACAAATGCCATGATGATTCCAGTGAGGGCGAGGGTGACAGCTAGCAGAACAAGCCACCTGTGCAGCTTAAAGGCCAATGACTTGCTGACCCACTGCTTCCCCCACTGCTTCCTTGGGACTACCTCCTTGCTCCGCCTGACACCCCGGCTCCGCCTGACCCCTCTGCTCCGCCTGACCCCTCTGCTCCGCCTGACCCTCTGCTCCGCCTGACCCCTCTGCTCCGCCTGACCCCCCTGCTTCTCCTGACCCCCCTGCTGGACTGGCTACACCTATTCCCCCCGGTCCTCCAGGTCCCGCAGTTTCTGCTCCTGATGCTGCTCCGCTCACTGCCGCTGATGGCTTCGCATGGGAGGTAGAATCGAGAGCCGGCGCAGCTACTGCCTCCAAGCGGCCAAAAGGCTTGACTTCGCCCTTTGCTGCTCCTGCTTCTGCTCCGCTCACTGCCGCTGGTGGCCTGGCAAGGGAGGCAGAAGCGAGGGCCAGCGCAGCTACTGCTGCCGATTTCTGAGGCGCCTCAAAAACAGGCGCACCTACTGCTGTCAAGCGGCCGGGAGGCTTGCCTTCGGCCTCTGCTGCTTCTGTCCCACTGTGCCTCCCGCCAAGCTTTGGCTCCTCCCCCAACCCCCCTGCTGCCCCCGTGGCTGTAGCTTCTGCAGAGCTATTGCTAGCTGCGGTGTTTTGAGACGTCTCAAAAGTTGCTGCAGCAGGGCTGTTACTTGCCACGCCAGGGGTGGTATCAGGCATGAACAAGGGCTTATTCGCTAGAAAGAGCCTCGATATAAGGATGGTGAAAGGCATGAGCAGGCCAAAGGCCAGTGCGAGCAGCCATGCATGGATGGTGTGGAGCGTGGCGCTCCCACTGCTCCACTCGCCCTCCTCTGATGCTCCTATGAAGAAGTTGACTCTAGCAGAGCCTCTGATAACGGGGATGGGGGAGGGAGGGAGGGAGGGAGGGAGGGAGGGAGGGAGGGAGGGAGAGAGGGAGGGAGGGAGGGAGGAAGGGAGGGAGGGAGGGAGGGAGGGAGGGAGGGAGGGAGGGAGGGAGGGAGGGAGGGAGGGAGGGAGGGAGGGAGGGAGGGAGGGGTGGAAATGTGAGTGAGTAAGTACAACACCATGGGAATGTGGCATGTGAATACTTCTTGGGAATGATGCATAAGCAGTTTTGAAGGCGACTCACGCATTCGGCCCGCGGGTCGAGTCGACCAACCGCTGCGAGTTATCCGTTTTGAGATTTCTCAAAAGCGGATTCAACATGGGAGTGTGACTGGGGAACGGACACATGGTGATGCAGGTGCGGCTTAGAAGCAGCTCTCAGACGCAGCAGCAGCTCTCAGACGCAGCAGCTCTCTTAGAGCGTTGTCTTAGAGAGCCTGGGAGTGTGACTGGGGAGTGGACACATGGTGATGCAGGTGCGGCTTAGAAGCAGCTCTGCTCTGAAGGCAACTCACGCATTGGGCCCGTGGTAGGCTAACTGCTGCGAGTTATCCCGGGAGTAAGCCCAAAGGATGGTGCTGCTGCCACCGCCGCCACCGTCGCCTCCGCTGCTGCTGCTCCTGCTGCTGCTGCCAGTGGCACCACCGTCACTCCCACTCGAACTCATGGGGAAATCTCCATCGCCCAACCGCTCAAACTTGATGGTCGTCCTCCCATTGGCCGATTCCACGGCCGTGTTGGTAACCGCAAACGAGCCCGTGGGCGTTACATCGCTCACAGCATACCCACTCATGTGGTATGCTCCCACTGCTGCCCCGGAGGGAAGGGTTCCTGGGGGAAGGTTGCCGATGGCTGCATCAGCAGGATACATTCGACCAGTGGCTGACCAACCTAGCGACACCCACCCGCTCGTTGCTGCCTCCGCTGCCAGAGCGATGCTGCTGCTGCTAATGATCTTCCAGTGTAGGATGAAGCTGCAGGGAGGGATGGGGGGAGGGGAGGATTCGGGAGTATGCGTGATTGAGTATGCCCCCCGCTGCATCACCAAGGGAAGGGTTCCTGGGGGGAGGTTTCCAATGGCTGCATCAGCAGGGTACATTCGGCCGTTGGCAGACCAGCCTAGCGACACCCACCCACTCGTTGCTGCCTCTGCTGCCAGTGCAATCCTGCTGCTGCTGCTGCTGGTGGTCTTCCAGTGTAGGATGAAGCTGAGGGGATGGGGGTAGGCAGGGTAGGGAAGTATGCATGATCGGGTACCAGCCTAGTGATACCCACCCGCTTGTTGCTGCCTCTGCTGCTAGGGAGATGCGGCTGCCGCCGGTGGTGATGCTGGTCTTCCAGTGCAGGATGCCCCATGCTCAATGTCCCATGCTCCTAACCCCATGCTCCTCCTAGCCCCATGCTCCTAACCCCATGCTCCTAACCCCATGCTGCTAACCCCATGCTCCTAACCCCATGCTCCTAACCTCATGCTCCTAACCCCATGCTCCTAACCCCATGCTCCTAACCCCATGCTCCTAACCCCATGCTCCTAACCCCATGCTCCTAACCCCATGCTCCTAAACCCACGCTCCTAATTCCATGCTCCACGCCCCGTGCTCCATGCCCCAAGCCCCGTGCTCCATGCACCATGCATCCTTCCTCCCCCCCATGCCACATCGCCCTGACTCAAGAGCTGCACTCGCTCCACATGGCCCTGAGCACTCACTTGTCGCCACTGAGTTGCACCATGCAATCATATCTGGGCAGGGAAGATGCCGTGCAGGCACTACTGCTTTTGAGATGTCTCATCACTCAGACCCTAACTCATCCTTCCTCACCTCACCCTGAGAGGTGGGCACTCACTTGTCGCCACTGAGTTGTACCATGCAATCATATCCGGGCAGGGAAGATGCCGTGCAGGCACTACTGCTTTTGAGATGTCTCATCACTCAGTCAGACCACTAACTCATCCTTCCTCACCTCGCCCTGAGAGGTGGGCACTCACTTGTCGCCACTGAGTTGCACCATGCAATCATATCCGGGCAGGGAAGATGTCGTGCGGGCACTACTGCTTTTGAGATGTCTCATCACTCAGACCACTAACTCATCCTTCCTCACCTCGCCCTGAGAGGTGGGAACTCACTTGTCGCCACTGAGTTGCACCATGCAATCATATCCGGGCAGGGAAGATGCCGTGCAGGCACTACTTCTTTTGAGATGTCTCATCACTCAGTCAGACCACTAACTCATCCTTCCTCACCTCGCCCTGAGAGGTGGGCACTCACTTGTCGCCACTGAGTTGCACCATGCAATCATATCCGGGCAGGGAAGATGCCGTGCAGGCACTACTTCTTTTGAGATGTCTCATCACTCAGACCACTAACTCATCCTTCCTCACCTCGCCCTGAGAGGTGGGAACTCACTTGTCGCCACTGAGTTGCACCATGCAATCATATCCGGACAGGGACGACGCCGTGCAGGCACTGCTGCTGCTGCTGCCGCTGTTTGATGCTGTTGGTGACGTGGCAGACAGTGATTGGCTGTTCGTGCTATGTGGTGATGAAGAGGTGTTGCCGGCAGCAGCAGCAGTGGAGAAAGTGAAATCCACTTTCAGTGCGCCGCTGAGCACATGTGACAAAAACGGGGTTGACAGTAACGGAGAGGTATGGGGTGAGTGATGACAGGCCAAAGGAGGAAGGGAGAGAGAGAGAGAGAGAGAGAGAGAGAGAGAGAGAGAGAGAGAGAGAGAGAGAGAGAGAGAGAGAGAGAGAGAGACAGCTGCACCAGTTGATTGAGGCCCCGTTCGACCAGTAGGGTCGGACAGGAGGGGGGGCAGAGTAGGTAGGGGACTTGGAATAGTTAGGATGCCGGTTTTCTGTTGAGCTTGTGCTTGTGTGTTTTGCACCTTTCGTTGTACCACCCCCCAAAGAAATGCAAGGACCATTCGAGAGAGAGAGAGAGAGAGAGAGAGAGAGAGAGAGAGAGAGAGAGAGAGAGAGAGAAGCAAGGACTTAGCCTCTTCCCTCCTAGCCTCTTCCCCTCTCTTCCCCAGCTATATAATGGCCTCCTGGCCTCTGGTTTAGCTCATTCTTCATTCGGTGTTCCAATTTTTCCGGCTTTCGTTCGAGAGAGCGAGAGAGAGAGAAGCAAGGACTTAGCCTCTTCCCTCCTAGCCTCTTCCCCTCTCTTCCCCAGCTATATAATAGCCTCCTGGCCTCTGGTTTAGCTCATTCTTCATTCGGTGTTCCAATTTTTCCGGCGCTCGCGGGCGCGGCCTGCGGCCGCGCGTTCGGGACGACAAGATCAACAAGGATGGCATATAGCAAGATGACAACACCGACGAACATGGCAGGCAACGACAACTAGGAGAGCAAACATGGAGCGGGTCTACTCACGCGCGAGAGGGGCGCCTACATGCGGTCGGCCTCAAGCTCACCAAGCGTTTCGCGCGTGGTCAACCACATCAGGCGGACCACTGACGCGGTGGCGCCGACAACGTCAACAGGAGTTCCGCGAGATCCAACAAGCGTCTTCAGATCCAGGGCCTTCTCGGCCAGCTGGGTGGCCGAGACTACTCCCGGCGAGGGCGCAACCTGCAGTGGCGATACGTACGAGAATAGCGCTCACGCCGCCGCATGACACCGTGCTCGTGGCATCTGAGAGAATGTGCTCGGTGGGGTCACCGCCATGGAGCCATGGGACTCCAGGAGTATCAGCTCAAGGCTCTGCAGGCTCTCCGCCAGCGACCACAAGCGCGCCAGGGTCACCGTGGGCACTTCCTTCATCGGCGGAAGGACAGCAGCGGCGCGCGTTCGGCGGGACGACACAGCGAGATCACGTGGAGGGGAGCGAGGACGCAGGGGTGCATACGCGGCCCAGGGATCCCCACCACCTGCGCCCACGAAGCCAGCCCCTGCTGGCAGCGGACGACCAGGACGCGCAAGGGAGCCCTCAGGGTTGTGCGGCAGGAGGGCAGCAAGAGGAACGACGCGGCCAGCCGACGGCACGGAATGGGATGACGCCTCCGCGTTCGAGCGGTGGAGCGCTTTCTCCACGCCGTCCAACCTTCGGAGAACGCGCTCAAGCCCGGACGGCGCTTGACGCGCAGTTTCGCCGCGTCCATACCCTCCCCGCTGCCCACGACGCCCACGTCCACTTGCATTCGAGTGAGCGGGCGACTGCTAGCGAGATGGGACGCGTTGGCGCTGGCGAACAGGGGATCGGCCCCCGTGACGAGGAGAGTAGAGCCGCTGGCGCTTTGACGGCCGCGGCGAACGCGCAGATGGGGACCGCGGGCGAGACACGTGCGGAGCAGGCGATCGATAGTGTGTGGCTTGGCGACCGGGCGAACGGTGACGACGCGACCGCCGGTCCGGAGATCGGCTCCTGGATGCCGCGCGGCGCGGTGAACGTGGTGAGTGCGGTGATCGCGGCTTCCGAGGCGACCGAGGCTCGGCGTGACGCTCCGCACGGTGGCTCTCCTGCCCGTCACCACGCGCCACTGTCGATCGGCGACGAGGCGAATGTTCCCGGCGCGCCGCAGCCTCTGCGTCGGAGCGCACGACGGACTCCGCACGCGCAGGCGCCGGCGCGGGCCGCTGATCTTCGAAACGGCGACGAATCTGATCAGCGGCAGCCATCGGAGCGACAGGGACGCTCGCGGCAGGACGTGCAGGAGGAAGCAGACGGGGAGCGAGATCGCTCACCGCGGAACACCCGCGCTCAGGAGCAGCCAGGAGATCCATCGGAGCAGAGGGATGATAGCGCTCGCCCAACGGGCGGCCGACGCGGCGGAGGTAGAGCTGCAGGCCGGGTAGGGCGAGCAGCTGGGCGTGGCGTGAGGGCTCGAGGAGGCGGTCCGGAGAACGTGTACCAGCAGGCGGGACGGAGGGCTTTAACTGAGATGAGCAACGATAATAATTCAACCACTTCAGACGGCAGCTTTGTAGCTGCAGAATCTACGGACTCGACCTCTAGCTCTGAGTCACTGGAAGACGAGCAGCAACAGACCCCTGCTCGAGCGAGCAGGCCAGCCGCAACTCACCTGCCGGGGGGAAACTCAGCAGTGAGATCCAACAGGAGGGGTCCCCCAACACCAATCCGTGCCGCATCGGGAAATTTCGCCACTCCACCAATCCCAACCCCGATTTCCAACATTCAAACCCCTACCCACACCGCCCCCCAACCTGCACCTGGCGGTAACCACGTCCCAACCCAACCCTTAGAGGAAAAATCCCCAGAAACTCTCGCCAAGGACGACACGCTATTCGCCAGCGTTGTAGCCTGGGATCTCACGAAACTACGCGACTCTCGCCACGCACCCCTTTCCCGCCACCTCCCTCCAGACCCACGCAAGCTTTTCGCCACAGCCTTGTTGGCGCCGCTGCTGCGCTTGGCGAAATATCCAGACTCTACCTCTGCTTGGACGGTCGTTCTATTCCTGGCGCGCTTAACACTTCGCCAGCTGTCCCCACGACGTCCAGATTGGAAGGCTGTCAGTGCCCGCCTTCGTCAGTTTCTGTCCGGGGAGTGGGATAAGCTATACAATGAGACAGTGGGCTCACTGACGTGGCCCCAACCACCTAGACACCAGCCCGATGACATTGGTGTCATCGCTAGGGCAGAGGGGTTGGCACGACGTGGCAGCCTACGACGAGCCGTGATGGCACTAGAAGCCACGCCAGTCAGCATTCCCTCCCCAACTGTGCTGGAGGCCCTGCGCGCCAAACACCCACCAGCGCCCGCCTCCCCACCTGACTGGACTTTTCCAGCACCTGACCCCCACCTATCAGCACCATTTGCAGTCTTCTCCAAGGTGCTGGGAAGCTGCGAGATGGGGGTAGGAGCGGGCCCCTCTGGAACCACGTTTGAACACTTACGCGATGCAGCGCTGATCAACCACTCCGTTGGGAAGCACCTTCACGCACTAGTCAACACGATTCTCACGGGAAACCTACCTCCTGCAGTGGCCGAGCTCCTCACCGCCTCGAGATTAATTGCCCTGAGCAAGCCCGATGGGGGGACGCGGCCGATCGCCATCGGCGAAAGCATAACGCGCCTCGCGGCCAAGACGGCGCTTACCTTGACCGCAGGGGCCGCCCGTGAGTTCTTCCTACCGCACCAGTTCGGCGTGGCTGTCCCTGGTGGGGCGGAAGCGATTATCCACATCACACGCACTTACCTCACGGTGAACACAGGAGCTTTGGTCCTGCAGGCTGATCTGGCGAACGCATTTAACAGCGTCAACCGCGACGCCATCATCAAATCTCTTCGGGACTCCACCCTCGCCTCGCTCTTACCGTTAGTTAAACTGCTGTACGGCCTTCCCTCGGCTCTATGTCTGGATGCTGGCTTCTCACACCCACCTCTGCTGAGCGAGACCGGGGTGCGACAGGGAGATCCCCTCGGCCCGTTGTTGTTCGCTGCCGCCATACACCCTGCACTGACGAAAACAGCGCTCACCTTCCCCTCTGTCGTCTGTCTTGCCTATGCGGACGACGTAACTTTCCTTGGAGATGCAGCCACGTGTGCAGCAGCGGTTGAGGACTTCACAGGAAACCTTGGGGAGATTGGGCTGCGCCACAACCCCGCCAAATGCGCAGCCTGGTCCCAGGCAGGCCGACAGGGAGCTGCGCTACCAGTGGGCGTACCTTTCACTGAAGATGGGGTGAAGGTGCTTGGCAGTTTCATCGGTGGCAGTGACGCAACTGCCGCGTTCCTACGTGCCAGCCTCGACACCATGGGCGGGCCGTTGCCCTTAATAGCGCGGATGGAGCCGCAGCTGGCTTCCCTTCTGCTCTCTCGGTGCATCTCACGAAGGATCGCTTACGTCGCCCGCACCACGCCGCTTTCAGCCCTGCCAGTCGAGGAGTGGTCAGACTGGGGTAAAAGGCTGTTTGAGACACTGCTCGATGCCTGCGGCATTCGCCACCCACGGGGGGAGGCCGAGATTTCACGTACCTGGGCGCAAGCGTCACTCCCCATCTCGCTCGCCGGTTTAGGTCTCACAGACCCCTCGGTGGAGGGACGTGTTGGGTTTCTCGCAAGCTACACGCAAGCGCAGCACCTGCTCACCTCCATTGATGAGTCGGCGGTCGGCGCCCTGGCGGAAACGCGGATCCAGATGGTGGGGCCCTTCATCAACACGTCCCGGCTCTTTGACTGGCTGGAGAGGTGTGAGGAGTCACTGCCGGATGATGGGAAGGAGCTGCTGCAGAGCGACCGAGTTGATCCCAAGGGCGTCAAGCTGCAGCACGGGCTGGCAATCGCGGTCCACGGACTGCGCTACGCGGAGCAGGTGCAGGCTACACGCATCATGCCTCTCAACCCAATGAGCGGGCACACTCAGCGCATGCTCTCACTCTCAGGGTATGGGGCAGGAGACTGGCTCAATGCAGTCCCCTTCAACTCGACACTACGGCTTGCCCCTGCTCACTTTGCGCATGCGCTGCAATTCCGGATGGGGCTACCCTCCTCAGCTCCAGGCGCGTGTGACTGCCGCAAGGAGACAGCGATCCCAGACAGACGGCTGCCCAACCACCTGCTGCGCTGTGACACAGGGAAGGGGCGGACCAACACGCACAATGAACTGCGCGATGCGTGTCTGCACATGGCCGCCGACGCTGATTTCATGACTCACAGTGAGACGACCACGTTCTGCCCCGTCACCCTTAAGAAAGCAGACATAGCGATCCGGGACAAGTCCTCAGGGGCGGTGTGGATAGGGGACGTGACCATCACGGACCCCATTAGCACACGGAATCCCAACGCGGTTAAGGGCAGGGGGTGGGCGGCCAGAGAGGCGGCAGAGAAAAAGATCTCCGACTACGAGGGCTCAACGGCCTCGTGGGTCGGATTCTTCCCTCTCGCCGTTGATACCTACGGCTGCCCCTGCGCGGAGGTCCCTCAATTCCTCAAACTTCTGGCCGACACCGGCGCGCGCAGGCTCTTCAACGCTGCCCCCTCATCTTACCAAGCAACAAAGCTGCTGCATCAGTTCCGCCAGCGGTGGTCCGTGGCGCTGCAGCGGGCGCAGTCGGTGAGCTTCATGACGAAGTGCAACTATGCGGCTCAGGTAGAGAACCCACCTGTGGCGCTGCCGGGCGAAGGCATGTCCCTCGGGGACTGCCTTGCCATCCTGGAGCCTGCACTGGAGCTGCCTTAGAGGGTGAACGAGAGTAGGTAGGATATGGGGGTTATAGAGGCTGAGGTGCATTGCTCCTTATAACCTTGTGCATGTCTGTACCGTGCTCGGATCTAATACACGGACCGCTTGAGAGAGAGAGAGAGAGAGAGAGAGAGAGAGAGAGAGAGAGAGAGAGAGAGAGAGAGAGAGAGAGAGAGAGAGAGAGAGAGAGCGAGCAAGAGGAGCTATTTGGCAAGGAAAGGAGGTGGAAAGGTGAAAATGTTGAAAAAGGTTGAAAGGCTGAAACGTTCTCGAGTGGAACCATTAGCAAAAATATTGAGTGAATTTCCACTCTGCTTATATCGTGTAACCGTGCGGTAACCAGCAGATGTGTACCAATGTTTGGACTCACTCGTTATGTTTGTGGTAGTCCAGTGCATGCGTGCCAGAACCCGAAAACGCCCACACGAGGGTGTTTACCCCAGAAAATCTCACAGGGACTATTCCCCCACCCCCTTCCGTTCGGGTGAACTTCACAATAGTCGCTCCACTACTAGTGGACTCAGTACTTGCTTCAGTGACCGAAAAGTTTCTGGTAACTGTAACATCCGATATCCGGTAACCAGTCATGGAGTACGCAACAACCTTCCTTCCTGGAAGGTTCCCGATGACTGCATCAGCGGGCACCATCCGACCGTCCGTTGACCAGCCGATGGAGATCCAACCGCTCTCAGCCCCGCTGCCCTGCTGTGCCTCTAACGCCAGGCGCAGCTTCGCCCTTCCCCCCTTACTAGCACTGCTGTTAAGGTCACTGCTGCTGCTGGGGGTGCTGCTGCTGCTGCTGGTGCGGTTCGGGGTGGTTGACGTGCCATTAACGAGCGTCCAGTGGAGGAGGAACCCTTTCGTTATAGTCTCAGAGTGCTTGTAACCCGAGAGGGATGAAGCCTGGCATGCCAACGGTCCAGAGGGAGATCCCCTGAAAGAGAAGGATTCACCTCCTCTTTTTCCTCTTTCAACTCTTCCCCCATGATGCTGGGTGGTCGTGCTGCTGTTGGTGGTGCTATTGGTGGTGCTGTTGGCGGTGCTGCCACTCGGGAAACGGAAAAGTAGTAGTGGAGTCGGGGAAACTGAGCGTTGATCATCAACACTGCTGGTAGTACTATTAATACATAGTTTTTGTTGAAGCGCAACCGGGATTCGGGGACAAGTTGAAGGGCCGGAACAGAAAGAAATCAGCTTTCACAAAGGATTTCGTCACCTACCAGTTACCCGAGGGGTCGACGGAGCTGGCGAATCCCGTTCGCGAAGAGCTCTTGCACGACGTCGCCGCCCATGCTACACCGCAAGATGAAAGCACAGTTAGAACGAAGAAAAAAACAGGGATGAAATTGAAGATTCGCCGCAGCGTCACCATGGCGGAGAGGCTGGAAACCCGCATTTGCTCTAACCAAACAATGCAACCGTAACGCTTGGTTCTGACAAAGCCGTGCAAGAGTGTGAGAACAGAGAGTACTCACAAGAACCAGTGTCGACACTGACTGCACTCTGTGGGAGGCTTCAAAAGAGAGGTGGAATTCGGCGAGAGGAATTAGGCTCGGGGAAATTGCTCGTGTGGATTTGCTGAATATTATATTTCGCGACTCGGGGTACGGAGGGGCTGACTTGGGTTGAGGGGTGCTTTTGATCGGTGCCCGTCATCCCAATCTGGCGTCGCTGGCGCTTGCCTTCTGCGGTGGATTTCAATCTGGCAGCGCGAGAAACGGAGAGGGTTTTTCAGACGCATGCGCGTGACGGATCAGCGCGTGCAGATGTTTCTCATCATGCGGTGAAACCTCCTCTGCATGTTACCGTCCTTTGCTCTCCCAGCGGGCTACATCGTGTCGTGGGCTAAAGCCATATGCTGAGAAAAGGTGTTCTACAAGGGAAGCACAGAACCACATGCGAGAACCAAATAGTGTACCGTTGTAAGGAATTTTCTCGGCATTCCTTACGGAGACTACATCGCGTACAGCAACAGCCGTTGTTCGCCCGT